ATTATTTTGCTTATATAATTGACGTTTTTTTTTATCAAAATTTATGTTCAAACTCAAAAGGAAAAGGAAAATGAGATGACTATATCCAAAAGGACCATAATACTCTTGCTGTGTGACACAAAAATTTGAAATGTGAAGTGTTTGTGAGATTACACTAATATCTGTGTTTTGAAGAATTCTTATATGTGTATTATGTAAAAACTAGGACCTATATTTGAATGTTTATTTTGGTTGAAACAAATTTGATAATTGTGAAAGTCTAATGTTTATTTAGTTTGCTATGTTTTGAAAATGAATTATTTATTATTATTTGAAGGTCCTTGACTTGAGGAGAAAGTTATCAAACTGGTTAAAGATTTTTATCACAATCAAATGGCATGAAGATTATATATATTGTCAATGTGTTGTATATGAGTATAATTGATATTTAAGAGGCTACACTAACATTGTTTATTGAAGTGTGTGTTTGAAAATTTTATAGCTATATAAAGATAAACAGAGGGATGTTGCAATGGAAAAGGCTTGGTAATTATATACTCCTTGAGATGGAAAAATACATTGTTGATCAACAAAGAAAAAAAGAATTTTTGCCTTTGGACTAGCGTTGAGGCTAGATCTGTTATTTGTCGAGGGGGATGAGTGTAAGCCGTTAGGAAGTCACCTAGGGAGGCAACCCATCTTTCGTGATTGGAGATCCCATGAAAGAAGTTCAATGAGCAAAAACAATTCATATAGCATGACTTGATTCTAGTATTCATTTTTTAGGAGATCCCATATTAAGGTTGATCTCCTGCTCATCCCTAAGATAGTAGTGTTGAATAAATGACTGGTTAAGAAGGGTTTTACCCTGAATGAATCCAAGGCAGACAATCTCCTACAAGGTGCATTCTGCCACTGTACCTTTGGAGGGCTCTACTAAGTGGAAGTTGTCGTAAGGCCGTGACTTGGAGACTTGGGCTAGTCTCTAGTAATCCCATGAGAATTAAGATCTACCACATGGCCTTGAAGAGCCCTAACCCGCGAACTGATGTCCAATATTAGTGCTATGTGTGACAAATTGAACTTTGGCTCAAAGGGTCTAGGTCAAGATATATTTCACTATGATCCTTCAGAGAAAAATTGTCAACACTAAAGTGTGGTTCAAGCCTAGAAGGCTCCCACACCTATTACACAGTATACAGTTGCCCTTATATATATATATATATATATTGTTTTGAATATAAAGTTTTAAAATTGTAGGGGTATTATATAAACTTTATGGTATTATTAAAAAATTTCTTTTATTTATATTAAAAGTGAGGGAAAGTTGGAATTTTAATAAAAATAAAATTAATTATTTCTATTTAATTTATTTGACTGTTATTAATTTTAATATTGATTTTAAACATTTCGGTTACAAAGTTATTATTAAGTTTTATTATTATAATTATGTAATGATTAAATGTTAATTTTAATTCTTATAAGATTTTCACTTATATATATTCTAATGTTTTCTAAAGATGAAGGGTACATAAGAGACACAAAGAATATATGTGAGTATAATATATATTGAGATTTTGTTAAAGAGTATAACTTGATATATCTTTTATATTTTTGGACAATTATGGTTTGCTACGAGCGCTTGGGTTGTATCTTGGAGTCGTTGCACTTCGGTTGTACCTTCACATGAGGAGGAACAACGATTTTAGTGTAGGGACTATATTCCTCTCAATCTCATAGGCCAACTCTTTCTTACTCTATACGAAGTTACTTATTTTCATGTTTTATTTATCGTAAATCTCTTAATCATTTTATTAATTAAATTATATTAGTGCATGAAATTTTTCTAACAATGAGCCCTACAAGTTCGGACAATCCTCTCGAGTCCAAATTGAACTGAAGAGAAGCCTTACCTTGAAATAAATATTGCAGAAAACCATGACACAACTCAATTGTAGGGAAGAATGAAATTTAAAAATAAAATAAAAAGAAACCAGAAGATCATTCCTACTCTGGTTAACTCAAAACTCAAAAATCAAAAAATGGAAGAAATAAAATCAATACAAATGATATCTAAAACTGACAGTGGAAATATTAACGTATTGTTTGGTTTCTATAATCATATTATTGCGAAGAAATTGTTTGTTAATTTTATGTGTATCAATGTGTTAGTACATATCAGAAATCAAATATAACAGCATGATCAAAAAAATACTCACACAAATCGTGAACAGTAAAAATTAATATTATGGAAATTCAAAATCTGACAGATGGTGATCGAGTTTTATGTTTGATATAATATGCTTAAGACGGAATTTCTCTCTCACTGCAATCCTCACGAATTTGAATAGACATCCATCACCCATGATACAACAATCGAGAATCTCGTAGAAGCAACATTTCAAATTGCAAGTTTGGCAAACCAATGTAGTACGGTACTCTCTTTGAGAGAACAACTTAGTGCAAAAAAGAGAAGCCGAGATGATTTCGATGCCAAATAAATGAAATGAAAGGTTGTATTTATAGACGAATCCATGGTTCTTCGAATGGCCATTGTGATTGTTTGGATGAAAGAGACACTTCTTCCATGGAAAACCTACAATAGAACAGTATCAAACATGATTGTTCTCAAAACAACGTGTTCATATCTGGATTGCATCCAATTTGGTTTTGACCCAAGTAAACAAAACAATAACAATAACAAATTTATTTTAAAAAAATATATATTTTTAATTTAAATAAATTTTGTCTTGCAATCATGTTCAAATAATGTTTTTTAGAATCAATTTCAGATTCACCTATTAATTATTTTGTGCAAGCTAATACAATTAATTAAGGAACAATCATTGTCAAACACAAGAGTATCAACTCAATGTAGTGGGTAGCAACCCACGAGAAGTATATGGTTTAGAAGCTCTCGTCTAACTTTACTGTAACTAATGACCTTTCCCACTACTATGTGCAGATCACCAAAGATGATTCCTCATCATTTTCTACCCAGACAGTAGAATGTATACTGTATGCCCGAGTCTAGATTATGATTCCTTTTCATTTTCTACCCAGACAGTAGAATGTATACTGTATGCCTGAGTCTAGATTATGATTCTTCCTCATTTTCTACCCATACAGTGGAAAGTATACTATATGCCTGAGTCTCAATTAGTTTTACCCAATGATTGTGCCTCATTTGACATAGAAACAACCATCATGTCAAGTATGGGTTCGAACAAAATTTATCCAAGTATCTCACTTACGAGATGGTGACTCATAATTCCCATTTTGTTCACACATTTTAATTGATATAGAATAATTAGGCCTACCATTTTATGCGAAGTCATTACATATTTTGAGTATGAAATCCACATATTTGGGTCACTCATATTTTGTATATTGTTCACACGCTAAAAAAATAAGTGAACAAAGTTATTTTCATAACTTAGGAAGGATTACAACCGGTAAGTGACATGATTCGCAAAATCACCTGATTAGAATGATGGGCCACCAAGACATTGGCTGTGGAATGTGATGATATGCCACAAGGCATGTAAACACAAGCAAATTCTACCCACTGGTTTGCACCATTCCAACATATTCACTAGATCCCTCTCATGAGCCTCCAAGTGCTCCAAACACTAAAAACCTATTCATGAGGACATATTGATGGATCAAATGCTAAACTTGGGCCTTCAAGGCGAAGCAAGATGATGGGGATCAAGAACTGTAGTAAACTGCTTGGTGGTAAGAGTGTTCACAAATCGATTTTTGACGGTTAAATTTGCCATTTAAACCCGTCTGCATATTTACAGTTTGGAAAAAATTAAAACCGCAACCACCCGCAGTACATATTGCAATTTATGCGTATAAGATTTGCGAATATGCATGCAGTTTGCAGATTGAATTTTTCGTTCAAAATTTTATTTTTGAGTTTCTTTTCCACATTTTAAAAATATTCTTTTTGGGCCTTTACCCTTTATTTTTAAAAAATTATTTTGGACCGTAAAATCACATAATTTTTATCATAAAATCATTATTTTCCAAATGGTTTATCTCAAATAAATTACAGTCTATCTATAGAATTTACTTCCTGAAGAAATTAGACCACAAGTACATGCCAGTGTAAGTTAATTGACTCATTCATTTTGCAAAAAAAGGTATAAACTAAATATATACAAATGCAATCAGATGAGTGTGGGTGACAGCGGGTAAAACTCACGACCCGTCCGCAACCCACAAAACCAACAAATCTTAACTCACATCCTACCCTAACAATTAAGTGAAATCGCCAATTAGGTGCAGGCGTTTCAAGTTGGGCAATTTCACAGGTAAGATAATCCTATGCCCAGTCCCACTTTGTGGTGGTATTGACTATTGAAGACAAGATAGCACTATGCACATAACAGTTACACTACCAACAACTCAGCCTAGGGTATGATTCTCAATCAATGCACTATATCAACAAAATACACAGGAGGAATTCAGTGATTTTGTTAATGTCATTCAAGCAGAAACCCCACTTTAAATTCATGTGAAAACAAAACACCAAACAAGTCATAGGCACAATAAACAGACATCAATCAGTTTGACACCAGCCTTCCATCACATGAAAACATATTCTGTAGACACCTCGCACACTTTCCAATTCAACAACATGCATATCGGGCATCTCCAACGTCTAGGATGCTTTCAGCTTGCGTTGTTTTACATGTTTAAAGTAAAATACAACTTAGACATGCAATCAGCTTTAGTTGTTATGTCATACATTTCAATAATAGAACAAATCATACGATGACATTGTTCTATAAATATTAGTTTAGATATCAGTTTAGAATATTAGTCTAGACATATACTAAATCAAGTAACATAATTGTCAATATCCACATGTACAAAGATTCTAAAATTAGATTCATTTTGTTCACAGTAACACACTTCCAACGGCACACTGGGACTCCATGTGCATATTACCTTCGTGAAATCTTCACCACACCTATGAGTAACCAAAATATACGATCAGTACTCAAATAGAAGCATCTAAAGCAACCACTTGTTCACCAATGTTGATTAAAGAAAACACTTTTATGGCTGTTCAGTTTTCTATGTGATCAAAACAAATATGCGAGTACTTGCAATCTCAACTCTTATGTTGTGTTTGGATCATGGATTTGCGTAAGAATTTGGAAAGGGGAACAAAATTGTGAGGGAAATGTGAATAAAATAAAAGCTAAATTTTTTATCCATTTCCCTCGCATTTTCTTTTCTTTCCAAATCCCAACCTAAATCGATGATCCAAACACAGTATTAGTGTTCAGTTATTGCTTCAACCTACTCTAAAGTTGCAAGTTATTAGTCAAGATTTTATTCAACATATGGTACAACATAGTGCAGTCGTTTGTTTAGACTATGGCCCTATAGGTAACCCATTATATAATTCAGACAATTTTCACATTTAGCATACAAATTGGTGTTGTCTCTCTCAGAATTTAATCATATGAAGCTGTATCAACTTTTACTCACCCATCTCAACATTTTCAGCTCTGAAACCATGTCAGAGGATGGGTGGCCAAGATAAATCTAGAATATTTTGCATCCAAGAAGGATGAGGAAAATAAGGTTACTCCACCGTCATGTGTCTAGGTAGATGGATGGAATGATTGCCTGGTGGGTTACTTTATTAATAGGAAGTTATGCTTTTGTTATTAACTCTATTGCCAAAAACTATGGGGGAAGAGTGGACTGATTCATGTTATGTCTACTGAAAAGGGTTTCTTCTTCTTTCGATTCAGTTTTGGAAGGGAAGCCATAGCATTTTGGAGGGAAGGGAAGCTAATGGTCCTAAAGTGGGACTACTGACTTAACTTGTGGAAGGAAAGTCTAGTAAAATTTCCTCGCTGGGCTAAATTCTTCAACGTCCCCTTCTAATATTGGAATGAGCAAGGGTTAAGCCACATTGCAAGCGTTATGCAAATTCCAGCTGAATAACAAAAGATAATTACTTTTGCCAAAATCTGTGTTGAGATTGAAGTGGGTAGCGAACTGGTGGAAAAGTTTCACCTGGACAACAGGAATGAGAATTTTGAAGGGGTCAAAGTGTACCAATGGGTGCTCAACCAGTCTTTGGTTTATGCTGTACTCAGGAATGACTGGGGAAAGAAACCAAGAGTAGAATGGAGGAACGTACAGAAGCCACAGGGGAAGCCACAGCCAATGATGATCATAATGCCCACAATGTGGGCAAAGATGACCTAATTCCAAGAATAAAGAGCAACCATTGGAGCAACGTCAAAACTCATCCTAGGATGTGGCCAATTCGTTAAATGAGGAACATTATCATGAGGTAGGTTTTGATCAAGACCAAGCTATCTATACCATACATGTGATACCAGGCGATTCAAACAACTGTGAAGTCTAGCAAATACTTTTGACAACCTGGAGATGTAGGAAGCTAATAACAAGACCCCAGGCCCATCTGTTCCAAATAAAAAGAAGTGGGGAAGGCTTTATCTTCAACTTATAACAATAAGAGTAAGAATGGGAAGGAAAGCTGACAGTAGCATAACATTAGTGGATACATACACCACAAATAAACTTGAATTCCTGGTTGGTATAAATGGAACACCAACTAGAGATATTTATTAGTGAGTAATACAAACAAATGATTTTTAAGAACCAAGTAAACATTATGTTATTAAAACAAGTTACACTTGAGAAATTGTGTAAATGTTCTGCGTTGAAGTTATAGTATACAATAGTTCTTCACCACAATATATATAGACACATACATACATACAAACATGCAAGAAAGAACGAAAATGAAAATTAACATACTCACAATGAACTCTTTCTAATTGCGCTTAAAGCCACTCAGATTTAAAGTTTTATCTTCTGATTACATAATGACTCAGCTTATTTATTTTTGTTTTTAATACTTTCTTCCTTTGGTTTCCTAATATCAGCTCAGGATATTGTTCAACATGCAGTGGTCATCTACTTTTCTTCTTTCTATATGGGACGCACAATCAAGAGCAATAAAACTTCAAATACTAATCTTTCAACACTAGTAGAAATATAAAACATCCCTATTTGCTTGATCAACTATGGATAGATAAAATAAAAATAATTGTCCCGTGAGGCTGGGACACATAAAATTTGTTCACTTAACATCTCAAAAAAACTGTTGATGTAATCATTTACAATTTTGCGATTCGGATGCATATCCAAGGAGGTATAGAATTAATGATAATCTGTGTATCATGCCAAAAATGAAATTAAAAGAAAAATATTAGAAGCTTCAACTAAACTCAGCATACCGACGAAAAGAAGGAAGACAAAAAACAATTTGAAGTTGCATTGTGTAATTAAAATGCATACATGTTAAGAATCTGAAGCATAAGATCAAAAAGGCAATGCAGGGCATTGCATTAACATGAAACAATGATCCAGTTGAAACCATTTATCCCCAAAAAAAAAAATGATCCATTTGAAACCATAAATAATATGATGTGCCGAAGAAAAAAGACAAAAAAGTATCATTAGTGCTAGAAAACTATAAATTAATTGTCAACAAAAAATCAACATGCTCATTGTAGCACATGAATTAACCATTCACACACTTAGCTCATTCTCTCTCAAAGATGGGAAAGCTCCTGGCCTCAATGGCTATAATTCCATGTTCTTCAAGAAAGCTTTGCCTATCATTTATAAGGATGTGATTTCTTCTATTACATCTTTCTTTTCTTTTTCTCAGTTCTGGTGCTATCTTCAAAGACACGAACTCCACTCTCATCACTTGGTTCCTAAGGTCCCCAATCATACCCTCTATAAGTGTATCTTCCCTAATAGATTGGCGTCCCTCCTCCTCCCTTCTGTTATTGATCTAGCCCAATCAGACATTGTTTCTGGAAAAAGAATTGCAGCCAATATTTGAACTCGATTCATATTCTACACACAAATTTCTGTCACAGAATGTATTGATATTGAATCGATCAATTACCAGACAAGTCCATTAGCACCACAACCACTAGGCATAATCAGTGGCCAGCACTTTGCCATGAACTGGAAGAGATTACCTGAATATGCTGTACGCAATCATTCAATAAAATGGCCACAGTGAGTCGAAACAGCCGAAAAATCCAGTAATGTACCGCTGTTTGTGTTAGCGTTAGCCATTGTCTTTCTCTTCCAAAGCTGAAGAAGTGAAGCTTCTACAAACTCTCACTAAGTTCTCTATGCTGTGAATATTTTAGATTGTATATATACATGAACTACCTTTCTATGGTAAAGTGGCTCTCCGCATATCTCAAGAAAAGGTATGTTTTGAATTTAATAATGGAGGCAAATTCACAAAATTTTCTAAAAAAATGGTAATAACATCAATTTGGACCTGGACAACGGAAAGGGGTAAAAGCTAGGAAGCACAGATACAGATACGGGATACAGATACGATATGATACGGATACGACGATACGACAAAATTTGAAAAAGTAAGATACGGATACGGCGGGGATACGTTCATAAAAAATATTATTTTTACAATTTTTAGTAATGTAGCATCCATAAAAATAAAACTTCAACAATTTTTAGCAATGTAGCATCATCCATAACAACCATAATGCATCACCCATAACAAAAAATTCATCAATTCAATTAAATTTTAGCAATTTCAACAATATAGCATCACCCATAACAACCATAATGCAATTCAAATTAAGGGGGAAAAAATTTACAAAGTTCATTTATTTATGAATAAGTTTATTTATTTATTTATCCAGACCAGACAGAGTTTATAATTTTATAAGTTTACAAATTTCATTAATAAGTTTATTTATTTATTTATTAATAAGTTTTTTTTACCTTATTTGATTTATTTTGTTTTATCACACAGGTAATATACCGAATAATGTAAAAAATAAAACCCATAACAACCATAATGCATCACCCATAACAACCATAATGCAATTCAAATTAAGAGGGGAAAAAATTTACCCTTTCAACAATAAAAAAAAAAAATTCAAAGGGGTTAGTACAGTGAGAGGGACAGAGATTGAGCGAGAGGGAGAGAGAGAGAGCGAGTGAGATTGAGCGAGAGGGATAGAGAGATCGAGGGAGGAGGGGCTGGGGGCGAGAGAGAGAGAGAGAGAGTGAGATCGAGAGAGAGACAGAGAGGGAGTGAAAGGGAGAGAGAGAGGGACGAACCTGATCGACGAGCGTCGAGCTGCTGTTCGCGAACCTGATCGACGAACCTGAGCGAGAGACGACGACGAACTCCTCCTCCTTCGCAGCTGGCTGCTGTTCGACCTAGGTAAGTTTGGATGATTAATTTTTTTTTGGTTTTATTTTACCTTATTTTGATATTTATACTTTGACCCCATTTTAGGTTTTTGAAATTATTTTTTTGCCCCGCCATATCCCGAAAGTATCCCGACCGTATCCTCGCGTATCCCAAACGTATCTGAAATTCAAAAATTAGAAAAAAAAATAGGATACTTTTTTCCCGTATCTGATACGTATCCCGCCGTATCGGGCCTGTATTCGTATCCGATACGTATCCGACACGCGTACGGGGGCCATTTCGAAGTATCCGTGCTTCATAGGATAAAAGTGCACCAATGGGTGCCCAAAGCCAATGATGATCCTAATGCCCAAAATGTGGGCAAAGATGACCTAATTACCAGAATAAAGAGCAACCGTCGGAGCAAGGACAAAAATTACCCAGGATATGGGCAATTCGTTAAGTGGGGAACATTATCATGAGGTAGGCTTTGATCAAGACCAACCTACCTGTACCATACAGGTGATACCATCCTTTATGGGGGGGCAACTCAAACAGTTGTGGAGTTCATCAAATACTTTTGACAACCTGGAGATAGAGGCAGCCAATAACAGGACCCCAAGCCCATCTAATCCAGATAAAAAAATAAAAAGTGGGGAAGGCTTAAAATGAAAGGGGGCTTCCTTAATTTCCCTATGCATTAGAAGGAAATCAGGGATCATATTATTCAAGGGAATAAAATGTCTCTTTATTTCGGGCTCTTGGGAAATAAAGTCAGGAGTGTTACTAAGGATATGGTCTTTGAATCTAAGAATGGAAGCTGGGGAATGTTGTCCAATTACAATGATCCACTTTGTAAAGTATATGGATCCTATGGAATCAAGATATGCTGAATGTTATGTGCATTAGTACAAATGACCAGGCTATTCATTGTCATATTAGTGCCAAAAAAAAATGGACTGCTAAGTTTCTGCCATGTATGGTGATAACACTCCCCAAAACAGACTGGACATTGAAGCTATGGCTGGTCTGTGGGGCTCTGTTAAATGGACCAGGTACATGCACGACTGCAATGACTGACAAATGGTCAGGTGCTTCGAGAGATTGATAAACCTCTCATCAATGAGGCTTGGACCATGAAATAAGGCAGAATTCCTAACTGCAGGAATATCTGACCATAGCCCTATCTTGGTTAAAGTGCTGTCTGCCCCTATTAAGCAAAAGAAACCCTTCAAATTTTTTTATTGTTGGGCTGACCACCTTGAATTCTTGAATCTTGTTGCCAGGGTTTGGAGAAATCATGTTCAGGGCACTCCCATGTTCTGTCTATGCCAGAAGTTGAAAATGCAAAGTTGAGTTGAAGAAGCTGTGCCAATCTAACTATAGTGACATCACAGAAAAGGTGGACTGGAGGAAGTAAGATCTCAATTGGAAGCAGTCAAGAAAAGTCTTGATAGTAACCCTGAAGCCTTGGGTGTCTATTACTGATGCCAAGGAAATGCTAAAATCATTACTTATTTTCAGAACTTGGTAGGCCATAAGGAAGGTGGTACTATGGTATGCATAGAAGACATGGACTTGTACTATAGTGATCAATTAAATGATGCTCAGAAACGAAACAAGGACGTTACTGTTGAAGGGATTAGAGAAACCTTGTTCTCTCAAAGATGGGAAAGCTCCTGGCCCCGATGACCATAAAATGTCATGTTCTTCAAGAAAGCTTGGCCTGTCAATTTAAGGATGTGCTTTCCTCTATTACATCTTTCTTTTCTTTTTCTTAATTCTGGTGCTATCTTGAAAGAAATGAGCTCTACTCTCACCGCTTGGTTCCTGAGGTTACTTACTCTATGAAGCATGGATACTTCGACGAACATGTCGTACTGGTAATGGGTACTGATACTTTGCATGGTACTTCTGCATACGCACAAGATACATAAAACACGCATGCAAATTTTTTTCTTCTTAATTTTTGGCTTACCCTAGACACCAAGGATATTCCCAAGCCATAAGCTGGAATAGTATTTTCTTCTACACAAAGGTAAAGTTAGGGGGTGTTTGGTGGGGCTTTTTTGGGCTAACTTATGGCTTTTGGCTTTTAAAAAGTTATTTTGGACTGTTTGGTTAAACTTATTTCAAACAACTTCTGATTCTAACAACTTATTATAAGTCAAAAAAGCTGATTCTGAGAAGCTGCTCACCCCTTGCTTCTGATTATCAGCTTCTGCTGTGGACATGTTAATTCACGGTTATACTCTTAGATTTTTTTTATTTTTTTTATTTTTTTAAAAATAGAAAAAGACACAAATAGACTATAAAATATTATTATTATTTTTTATGAGAAATGTAGACAAATAGTGAATAATAAAAAATAAAAGTTAATTAAAAAAGCTACTTCACAGCTTATTTAACAAACACTACTCAGCAACTTAAATCTATAATCCAATAGTTATACCAAACAGATTAACAGCTTCTGATTAAAGTTATAATCTATAATTTGTTAAGCTATAAGTTATAATCTGTTTTAACAGTTACACCAAGCAGGACCTTAGTCTCATTGGACTTACTTTTTTATGCTTAGCATGATTTTAAAATTAAGCATTAGCATATAAATTATTTAATAAATATAATAACACTTAGTTTTGGTTTATACTTCACTTTTGGCATTAAAGATGAATTGCAGGTTGGATCTTAACAAACTACACCATTTAACTAATTGGCAGTGATCTAGACCCCCACATGGGGGTGACCCTCAGCACCCTCACATACACGTGGGGGGCAGTGAGAGGAGGACCAGAAATAAATAAATAAATAAATAAATAAATAAATAATAATAATAATAATAATAATAATAATAGACCAATCATCATTCAGTGGGGGTGGTGGGGGTCACCCCCACTGGGGGTCTCACTCTTTTCCCTAACATTTGCATTACTTCGAATTAAAAATAACTATTTTTTTTTACGAACATACACAGACGTACCCATACCTTACTTTTTTTAAATTTTATCATATCAACATACTCATATTATACATATACCCGTACACATGCTTCATAGTCCCTAATCCTACCCTCTGGAAGTGTATCTTCAAGATCTTCGCTAACAGATTGAAGTCCCATCTCCCTTTAGTTATTGATCCAGCCCAGTCAGCCTTTGTTTTTGGAATTAGAATTGTGGACAATATTCGAGCTCAATTCATATTCTACACACATATTTTCCGCCACAGAAATGTAATGAATTGATCAATTACCACATAGTTCCATTAGCACCACAACCAATTGGCATAATCGGTGAACCCCAAGTGGTTGGCCTGGTGGCAAGGCCTTGAGTCTTTGAGGTGTAGTCCCTTCAAGGTTCAGGGGTCGAAACCCTTTCGGTGCTAACCGAATATGTTGTATGCAATCATTCAATGAAATGGCAACAGTGAGTCAAAAAAGCTGAATCCGGCAATGTACTACCGTTTGTGTTAGCGTTATGCGTTACCATTGTCTCTCTCTTCAAAAGCTAAAGAAGTGAAGCTTCTAAAAACTCTCACTCTAATATATGTTCTCTATGTTGTGAATATTTTTGTATGTATATAAAGAAACTACCTTTCTATGGTAAGGTGGCTCTCTGCATACTCGAAAAAGAAGAGGAAGTTTTAAATTTAATAGAGGCAAATTCACAAAATTTTCCAAAAAATAGCAATAACATCAATTGAGGCCAAGGCTATGAATCTTGTAGACTGTAGTACTGTTTTTACTATTGGTACCATGCATGTCGCTGCCATTATGTTTTCTTGATTACCATTTTTGGACTTTTCTCTATAACTTTTGAAATATATTATGTAAAAACCGTATTTATTTATTTATAAATGTGGCATTTTTTTCAATGTAATTTGTATGCTGAAGAACATGTAACATTTTTACCATCTAATCATTCTTATTCTAATCATTATTTTAGAAATTCTCATAATTTTTTTTAATCTTTTGTATTGTTGAGCATGCGTACGCCTGCAAGAGATGATCATGCAACAAAATTAAACCTTTTGTTTAACACATTTTAATTGGTACAACACACTTAAATAAAACAAGTCTTGATACTTCCCACTAGTTTTCCTGGTCCTAATGTTCTTCCTCAGATGTTAAAGCAGCTTCAAACCTAAATGACATTCATTCTCTATCTATCTACATGTGTCTAAAGTATATTGAGAAGACAAACATAAAAAAACCAATTTAAGCTTTGACGACGATGGTGGGGCATGTTACAGCTTGACCTTACAATACAAATTCACAGTCGTTGGTGATTGATAGCTACTGGCATCACCAACACTTCTCAATTCTTAGGGCTTCTTTGTAAGAACTATGAATATAACATGTATGCACCAGAAGGAACTGGTACAAAATGGCACAGCTGGATGGACTATGCTAAAAATTGCCAAGATAGCTAAAAACAATCCAATAACTTAACCGGCACTGGATCGAAGGTCTTCTATACCGTTTTTTCTAGTGTAACAATACATTTCGAACAGTATAGGTTGGCACAATACAGGATTCACAACCTTGGTTAAGGGTGATAAATCGCTAACTATAAGGGGGAGTTTTAATAATTGCTTCATAGTTTAAACTTTTAAGTAGTTGTGTGATAAAAATGGAATTGTTTAACATATTGATTTTTTTGGATAATTTGGGGAAAACAAAATTCTACACAACTTCAAATTGATGGGAACACCAAATATTGTTCTCCCTTCAAATATTAGTATAAATAAATTAATAATGCTTCTGATACAAAAGTAAAGCCATTGTGTTTATCAATAAAATTCAAAAAAAAAAAAAAATAACACCATATTTAAAATTAACATACCCTTTATGATCCTAAAGTCATATTATATCATCCTATAGTCAAATAATGCTTAGTCCAAACCTATACATATAGAGAACTAATTCTGGTGGCAAATAGATCATTTGATAATGTTGTCAATTTTCTATTTCCTATTAACATAAAATAGGAACCATTTTTTTCTTTGGTAAAAAACATAGAAAGGTGTACACATACTTTGAAAACAAATAAAAACAAAAGCAAAGACACATGCTTGATGAGTTATTGAGGGTGAAGGCCGCCAGTGGAGGGTGGCCAGAGGTGGTTGCAAAAGTGTTGTTGGAGATCACGCGGGGGTTGTCGAAAGAATGGCCAAATCCCTAGAAGTGGTGGCTAAGGAAGGGGGGGATGGCAGGGAGAGAGGCTAGGAAGCACGGATACGGATACATGATAAGGCAATATGGATATGGTGATACGCCAAAATCTAAAAAAGTAAGATACAGATACAGATACAGATACAGCTACAGCGGAAATATGTTCGTAAAAAAAAAAAATCATTTTTTTATAATTTTAATAATGTAATATGCATGAAACTAAAACCTAAAGCAAATTAATAAATAGAGGGATTCATATTAAGCTAAAAGTCTTCAAACAATCACAAAACATCCAAAACTAAAAACAAAAGCAAATGCAAATTAAACATCATCTTTACATGCCAACACTAAAAAAAGAACGAGAGCAGAGAGAAGAAATATGATAGAATAAGAGAGAATTGAGAGAGACAATAAGGATACATCAATTTGACAAATTCTATTACTTTAACTCTCACTATATTCCTCTTATCAAATAACTAAACAAAGCATTAGAAGTAATACGTGACTTCGAGTATTAGATACTTCAAAATAAAGTATCCAATACTCTCCAAAATTAATAAAAAAAAATTAATTAAGAAGTATCCGATATATATCCGCGAGTATCCAAGGAATATTGGTATTTGATAAGTATCCGATATGGATACGTCTCTCTTTTTGAAGTATCCATAGGACAGAGGAGAGAATGAAAACTCATTTTCAAGACAAATGAAAACACCCCTTTTTTCATTACAATTTTTGAAATTTTGAAATCAATTCAATTTTTTTGGAAACGAAAACAGTATACCAAATAAGCATACACTATGCAGCTAATTTACCAATAAGAATCAATACTTAGGTACTAAGCATACACTGTGCAGTTAATTTACCTTGACTAAGTGCTTATTTTCAGCCTACTAATTAGTACGTCAGTATGGCCGATCCCATCCCAAACACAAGCTTCAAATTCCATAGTACCACCATCAACAGCATCAGCATCCTTAACATCAAAGGTAATATAATACTTAAACCCAGCACATAAACCCCTGTTTGCCTTCACAACCTTCACAAACTCCAGATTCTTAAACTGCACACATATTTTCTGACATATATTATGAATAACAAAGGCTAATTCTCAAACCAAACAAACAAACAAAACGATGAAAAAAAAACTTTAATTGAATAAAGAAATACACCTCTTTGTCATTGTATTGCTTAAGCGCTAATTCCGCAAACGTTTTGAGATCGTCGGCAATCTCATCCAGGTTAAAAACCGGCGATGTTCCACCAAACCCAAACGAGCGTGGGAAGTACATGACATCAAAGGTATATGCATATGTATACATGTATTGTAAGCCCACAAATTCTATTACATTACAACAACAATAATATAAAACATATATATATATATATATATAGGATTTTGAAGAAAATACAGACAAATGAAAGAGGGAAGTATTAAGAGAAGCTAGATAAGATATACATACATCACTTTGGGTTAACTGTCTATCATACTCTTGGAATTCCTTATCAGTAAACTCATGCATTCCATCACTATCATCTTCCACATCTGAATCATCATCGTAGTTATAGAATACGATTTTAGATCTAGGGTCTTCTTTTTCTTCTTCTGCTGATGAACAAAGCGCTGATGGTGATGGTGGAGGTGGCGGGGAAGCGTAACCCTCGCACCTTTGCTTCTTCGCCGGTGAATCTCTAATCTCCCATTTGGAATCGTTCCTTTCGATGCACAGATCGGAATCCATACCTTCCCGCAGAGACAGACAATACAACAATGAAAACCTAGACAGCAGACAAAAGTAACTCAACCCAACCTAACCTAAGGTGATTATAGCGTATTAGGACTATTTTGCAGGTCGGTAAAATGCAGTTTTTTTTTTAATTATTATTATTATTATTAGACTAGGTTTGGCCTCCTTTAAAAAAGTCAAAAAGCTACTATCTTATTTAAGTCAACCCACTTCTTTTTTCTTTTTTTTTTCGCTACTAAACATTTAATGGAAAAAACTTTATTTTGAGTTTTTTTTATTATAATTAATTTCTTCACAACCTGTATTTATTTAAACAAAATAATACATATATCTATTTCTATTTTTGCAGGGGGAAAAAATGTTGTTTTTTTTTTTTTTTTTAATTATTATTATTATTATTAGGCTATGTTTGGCATCTTTTAAAAAAATCAAAAAACTACTATCTTATTTAAGTCACGTCATCTTATTTAAATCACTTTACTTCCCTATCACATCATTTCAAACTAAATTAATAAAAAGTCAAAAAGTACTATCATCTCAAACCCCTTATTATTATTATTATTATTATTATTATTATTGTAAAAGTGTGAAGAATCTACCGTATTTTCTACTTTTTTTTTAAATCTCAATTTTATTCTTTTAAATCTATTATATTTTCTCAAACACTCAAAAATGATATATCTATTTCCAAGAGTCCTATATAAATTTTTACTTTTTTTAAATCTCAATTTTACCCTCTTAAATCTATTATATTTTCTAAAAATCATGAAAAGTCCCATATAGACCAACTATCTTTTATTTTTAAAGTTGAACACTCAAAAATTATTATAAAAGTGTGAAGAACCTACCATATTTTCGACTTTTTTTAAATCTTAATTTTACTCTCTTAAATCTATTATATTTTCTAAAAGTCATAAAAAGTCCTGTATAAACCAACTATCATTTTATTTATGGAGTTGAACACTCAAAAATGATATATCTATTTCCAAGAGTCTTATATAAATTTCTACTTTTTTGAATCTCAATTTTACCCTCTTAAATCTATTATATTTTTTAAAAGTCATGAAAAGTCCTGTATAAACAAACTATTTTTTTTTTATTTTTGGAGTTGAATACTCAAAAATGATATATCTATTTCTTAGAGTCCTAAATAAATATAAACAAACAATCTCCCTTTTTATCAAAAAAAATAAAAAATAAAAAAATAAAAAATTATCTCCTTATTTTTTACATTGATGATGATTGAATAACAAAAAATAATTACTCTTTCTTATTTTTTATGTCTGTTTCTATACTAATATACATAATATTTATAATTCTCCATCAGATATACATAATATTTATAATTCTCCATCATGGATCAAATCACTGTGAATAATTTTGATTAAATTTTAAAGTTATATGCATTCATTTGAATTTAAACAGAGAAAAATGCTTGCATTTTTAAAATAGAGATTTGTGTTGTATCTCAAAAATTCACATGTTATCTTTATACATTTTGTTCTTATTTAAATTATATTTTATGAACTATAATATTTTACATTGTACTTTAATAACCAATGTATGATCTCAAAATTCTAATGTTTAAATTATATTTTGTGAACTATAATATTTTACCTGGTACTTTAATAGCCAAGGTATGATATCAAAATTATAAACAATTAACTACTTTTGTTGGTTTTATTTTTTAAATCTATTTTTTAATTTTTGATTTTTCATATTTTCTCAATTTTGATAATTAAATATATTGAAATTTCTTCATATTTTATATTTAAATTATAGAAAGTAAAATATTAGTAAAAAAAATTATTAATTTAAACATGTACTTTTTATTATTATTAAATATATTTTATGTTGTTATTATTTTTATTATTATTAGTATTCATAATTCTTTTTCCAAAAAGAATACACAACTAATTATTTTCTAAGTATATTTAAATTAAGTGAATCTAAATCTAAAAGTAAAATAAAAAAATAAAAAAATAAAATTAAGTAAATCTAAAATGAAAATAAAAGAATTATTAAAAATAAAAATAAAAAAATGTCAAAGACAAAAAATATGAAAATTCAAAAATTCAAAATAAAAGTTTGAAAAAAAAAATTAAACCAAACACTATAAACTTCTCTTTTTAAAATCTTTCTTTACTAATCTTTAATTTTACATAAATTATTCACAAATTCCTTTTGACTTTTACGTACATTTAATAATCTAATTAAAAAAATTGTGCATTTACACAAAAATGTAACACTAAACATCTACATTGTTTACGACCAACTATTTAATTATATTTTGCAAAACACATGCATCACGACAACAATTGTATTTTGTTTCCCCTCACAGAAAAAAAAAATCACATTATTGAGGAAAAATGAAATTTGAAATTCATAACAATATGATATCGCCTCAAACTCTTACTCATAAAAATATTTTTATTACAATGAGCTATAATGGCGAGCAAGAAGAAAAATAAGATAGTAAAACAAAAATTACTGAAGATCTATTGCAACATGCTGTCCAAGCAAAGTTGGACGAGTTGAAGTAGGAATTGTCCTATTTATTGTCAAGTTCAAGAAAAACAATGTACCTCATGCATATATTTTATGTTTATAAAATTTCTCACTTATCATTTAAATTCTTCAACCGAGTATTTATTCATTTCTTACTTAGTTATATTTTGGATAAGATCAATTTATTCATACAAGTCTTTATATTTTGTATACATATCACATACTAATTTAAGAAACACGCATAATTACAGTATTAATAATTTATAAAAATCACGTGCCACGTGCAATGCACGCGCCCAACCACTAGTTACTATTATAAAAGTGTGAAGGATTTGTCATATTTTCTAGTTCTTTTAAATCTCAATTTCATACTCTCAAATTTATTATATTTTTTAAAAGTTATAAAGAGTCTATATAAACTATCTTTCTCTTTATTTTTAGAATTAAACACTTAAAAATGATATATCTCATTCTGCGAGTCCTATATAAATATAAACAAACCGCCTCCCTTCTTATCAAAAAAAAAAAAAAAATCGGTCTCTCTATTTTTTATATTGATGATGATTGAACAAGAAGTCGATGCCATGTTCTGCTCTTCTTTTTGTGTGTTTTGTAATCGAGCAAGACATTTGCCCATCTATGATGAATTATGAGTTTGTTTCTTTCCAATTGAGCTATGCCAATTGGATCCTCTTTTTTCTGAGTACTAGGCTCATTCTTGTGAAGGCGTTCCGCTTTGGATCTTTTAAGATCAATTCTCATGAGAAGTAGATTTATATACATTCTCTTACTAAAAAATAATTATTCTTTCTTATTTTCTGTATTTGTTTCTATATTGATATACATAATATTTACAATTGTCCATCATGGATCAAATCACTATGAATAATTTTGGTTGAATCTTAAAGTTATATGCATTTATTCAAATTTAAACAGAGGAAATCACATAAGTTTTTAAAATAGAGATTTGTGCTGCATCTCAAAAGTTCGCATGTTATTTTCATATACTTTATTTTTGTGTTAAATTATATTTTGTAATGCCCTGAAATAATTAACAATAAAACCATTCACAATATTAATAAACGGCAATACATTTCTGAATATGATATCTTTACATTCACATGACTCAATTGTACAAGAGATGACACATGCAACTATACATTCATAAGCCCTAACCATGAATCTATAATATGTGCTATAAGCAAGAGATATGCAATAAAGATTAAACAGATATCTTTATACCCTAACGACTACAACTTTCCAAGGCAGTACTTAGTTACAACAAAAGTGGGTCTAAGCTTAGTACAGTTAAAGCCCTAGGCTTGTACAAAAGTAAATATAACAAATAACAAAAAAGAAACCTTCAGCTCTAAGTTCCTCCCAAGTTATGTTCTTGGCGGAGGCATATCATTAGTACCTGAAAATGGTTTTCCACATAGGATGAGCCAAAACCCAATAGAGATACTCTAACACAGTGTATTAATCTTAACAAAGTTATAAGGTGAATACATATGTAATACTCGTGCCAAAACATTTTATATCTATTTCCAAAAACATACAATGCCAGGTTATATCACAACTCATGAAAACATTTCCTTTACAACAGAAAACAGGGTGGTCATTACAAGCTCTAGGAATCTCTATGTACGTGTTTACAAATAGGCTATGCAAGCACTACCAATGCCATTTTTACTAGTACTAACTGGAGGACTCGGCACCGGTAACGCCCAGAAATAAATACAACAACCCATCTACAGTATTAATAAGTGACAATAATGATAAAGTAATTATTTTCCATTAAGTCCAATTGAGCTTACAAAACGGTAACATATACAAGTCTACATTCACAAGCCTGACCCTGAATCTAGAGCATATGTTGTGTAACGCCCTGAAATAATTATAATAAACCAACTATAACGATAATTAAATAATAACATAAATCAGAGTACGATATCCTTTCATTTCGTAAGATGCAGTTGTACAAGAGAGGTGACACATGGGATATACATTCATAAATAGTACATCCTAAATCTACAGCATGTGTTACCAAATAATAAAAAGAATAAAAAGTTAAACAGATAATCGAGTGCCCTAAAGGCTTACATCTTTCCAAGTCAGGGCTTGGGTACATCAAAAGTGAGTCTTGAGCTCAACATAAATAAAGCCATAGGCTAGTACAAAAGTAAATACAAAATAACAAAATTGATCCTTGAGCCCCACAGTCCTCTCGAGCTAAGTCCTTAGTAGAGGTATATCACTAGTACTTGAAAATTATTTTCCCCAAATAAGGTGAGCCCAAGCCCAGTAGAAATAATCCAACACAATATATGAGTCTTCACAAAGATATAAGGGTAAAATGCACATGCAATGCTTATGTCAAAACATTTTATCTTTCTTTCCTAAAACTAGGCTATGCTAAGTTTATATCACAAGTCCAAATTCATGTTCTTTATAGTAGAAAACAAGGAGGAAATCTTAAACTAGTACAACCTTTCATGGATATTTCGTCCGCAGGAAACCGTCAAATGACACCAATGTAAACGTAGCCTATACAAGCCCTACTATTGCC